GGGGGGGTAATGTGAGCCAGGTCCCATGAAAGGTCAGATGAAAAATTCATTCATACCGACTTCGACGAACAAAGCCAAATTTCTCGTTGACGACAGCAAAGCCATGTACTTGATATTATCTGCCAAATATCAACTATTGGGACTGAACTTGGGCAACAGAAAAACCGCCATGGTTCGCGGCGCAGCAGTAAGAGTTATGGATGTTTGTTCTGGTCCGAATATGTTTTGTGTCCTGATGAAAACCAAACAATATGTAAAACGCGCACTCCAATCATAATATAATACTTGTTGGTCTTACTGGGTAAATTCTACATTTGATTTTGTTTAAAATGAGTAAATTTAAGATGTCATAAATTATTTAGTGCAATGGGTCTGGACTTTGTCCAGCCAAGCAATAAACGGCCTTGCACCTTCGGAGTGACGTGATGTTTAGGGACGTCCTCGTTCCAGAAACATTTATATACTCGTTAATGTCAATATGCATACTTTGTTTGTGTTTTTCTCGGTTCGGTCTTTCTGAAAGAATACTGTCTGGAACCGCGTGCAAACTCCTTCTTATCGATTAATAAATCTGACGGGTACAGACAGTTTTATCTCGGAAACTCGGCTTCACGGAACCTTCAATAGAGTCGTTCTCACTCAAGAACAATCTGACGAGCTAGGGAATTGTCCGGTCAGCAGATCTTATTCTTGGCTCCGTACAACGACGAGAGTATAACGTAATCATAGTGTAAGACAGGAGAGGTTTGTATACTATTCCATATTCTTATTATTGTTGGTTGTAGCAATTATCTTATATGAAAATTGCTGTAATGTATGAGTGTACTCAGAGAATCTCTAGTATCAGACATACGACTTACTTTTGTTCATGCTAAATTCCGTGTCAATAGTAAGTGGATTTGTCGATTACAGGGTTACACCATGGAACTATAAACCCCATGGTTACACGCACCTCGATTACACATATGTCATCTAGGTAGGTGTGAATGTTAGCATGGGTAATTTGTACGGGTTCGAGTAGGTCCGAGTCTGGTTGTCTGGTTATTTTGTGCACTAAAAATTTACTGAAATACAAACCATACTCATACATACTGTACTCTAATA